GCTTAAGCCCAAGAGTTTGAGGTTGCTGTGAGCTGTGATGCCACAGCACTCTACCAAGGGCAACATAGTGGGACTCTGTCTAAAAAAAAAAAAAAGTCCTAAGCCCTAAAAATCATAAGCGATTCTGTATGAGTCTTTATAATCAACCTAATTTCAAATAAAAATCACACAAAATTGCTATCATTCATAAAATCTATAGCAATAATAAAAACTTGGCATAAGTGTGCCATATTAACTCAGCAAATGTTATTAACAAAAAAATAGAATAAAATAAACATTGGAGTTACATATTTATATGACATTTCCATAATGAAAAATGCTAAATCACTGCAAATTCATTCTCACATCTTTTCCAGATTATTAAGCAATGCACATCATGTTTACCAACAATCCATTTGAACAGGAACCATGTTTTTTGAATCAAAGATCTGGGCCCTGTGGTTTGAGTAGTGTAAGCATACTTGCTGGGAATTTGAAATCAAGGCTGTATTAGATCATCAGGTTCAGGGCATTCAGGTTGTTGCCTGGCATTTTCTTTCTTTTAAAAGGATGCCCATCAAAAGGAAATGGAATTTTAAAGCTTTCACAAATAGGTGTGCTTCATGACATTAAGTGTGCAATTCCCCAGGTATCTGCTGATTTCAGGGGCCTATCATTTCTGGGGCCCGCATCTTGGGGTAAAGAGCACTTACTCATCCCCTTGTGGGGATCAAGGGGCCTCCCGATTTTAAGTTTCTAAACAACTGAACTGAATTCAGCATCTTGGACCCTCATTTTCCTGCCTCCTATTACCTGCATTTATAGGAAGAAGTTAAAGTGCCGCCCTCACCCCTACCCCCAGAGCATCAAATTAACTGTCAGCATGAGAAGCAAGGCTAATTGGAGCCTTCAGGAAGCCCCTGAAGAAGGTCAGGTTATTTTCAGCTTGACAGACAGATGCACAGATGAAAAATCTAGCAGAATCAAACGCAGCAGGGGTAAGACTAATGGCTGAGATTCAGCACAGTCCAGGGCAAGCAGGCGATGCTCCGAGAACGTGCAGCTGCGCTCAGTTTCTAAGAAGGAAAACCTGGGTTACGTGTTCTAGTTCCAAAGCAGAGGTAGAGGTCTTTCTCTTCTAAAAAGAGAAAAACTTTTTTCTTCAAAGAGAAAAACTTCTAAATAATACACAGTAGAAAATCCAGACCAAGTAGCTCTTAGCTCTTTTGGAATTTTCATCTGGACATCCTTTTGAAATAACATTAATCATCACGAATAGTTTCAGATGTTATTATGGCAAATACAGCCACAGCAACTACTAAAGCTTGCTCCATTCTTGAGTGTTTTCATTGATTTTGGGGATTTTATTAATCCTGCCAGATCCTAATATTGGGAATCAATAGGAAAACTGGATTTATATAGCATAAATTTATTGTGTTGCATATTTTGTGGGAAAATCACTATTCCTTAAGTGGTAGAGAATTCCATAGCAAACCTCTGAAAGTCACGCTTCCAGCAATAGTAACCATCTGGAATACAGCTGAATATGGTAGTAAAAAGAATGATTTCTTTAGCCAAAAGGGATGTTGTAAAACTCATGCATATTATTTTGAAAGAATCTACATCCTTTCATTCTGTACACAATTTAAACCAACACTGGATATTCCAGCCCTCAAAAGATGGGATAAACCACATTCAGGGTAGGGTTTGGGGCAGGAGATGTGGAGCGACCACTCCTTGAAGACTCTGTCTCCTTCCCTGGCCCCTTGCTCCTTGTCCACTTGCCCGCTGAGTGACAGTGCCCCTGGGGCTCCATCTGTGCCCTCTGGGCCTCAAAATCTCCGGGGAAATCCCATATGGTATTTTCAAGAGACAAATTGAAAAAACAAAAATCATTAGGTAAGA